CGGTTGGAAGGTGGGGCAAGGTGGGATGTTCACCAAGCAGAGCCATCTGACTTATCTGACTTTACCTCGAGATGAGGGATTTGATGGGCGAGATCAGGAGGAGGGGGGTTCGAGGGCGTCGAGAAGGTGGGCTGGGGAGTCTTGGGGCGGGCGGGCGATCCTCGGCATCGAGCTCCGACGAGGGCGGGGGCAGCGCTTGCGCGCGGGGTCGATCGCCAAGTGTGTGCTGGAGCGTTTGGGACGGGTGGCTCGCCTTCACTCGAACTCAACGGGGTGCCGAGGTCTCGGATGCCCTGCGCGCTTGCGCGTCGCTGCCGCGTGGCCTGGATCGGAGCGCGCTTCGGCCCAGCTGAATCGCTCTCCCGCTCCCGGCCGCTGCTGGCGGCGGGCCCGGCGCCGAGCTGGGTGGCAACTCGCCGCCGCGCGGCCCCCGTTTGCGGCGGTGCGGCAGCGCCGAGGTGCCGGCCCGAGGCGCCGGCCGCAGCGGCTGCTGAGGCCCCTCGTGCGGCGGCGGCGCCCCCCGCGACAGAGCGGCGGCGCAGGCCGAGAGCGCGGGCTCCGACTCGCGGCCAGAGCAGAGGCGTAGGGGACTGGTGGCCGAGGCGCGCGTACTTCGCCGGCGTTGCTGCCGTCACCCGCGCATGGGCGGCGGCGGGCGCCCGGGCGCTCGCGCCGCTGGGCGCCTGCCCGCGCGGCGGCTACGAGCCCAGGGCGACTTGCTGTCGAAGGTGGGCGCGCGGAGGGTGCTGGGGGAGATCCGCGGGCACGAGGCGCGCATCGGCGTTTTTGGCACCCCGCGCACCCCCATGGGCTTGCCGCGGTGAAACTGCAGGCCGGGAACTCGCGCCCGGGAGCGGCCGCAAGGCGACGGCGCGCGTCGAGCCGAGCGAGACGGCAACGGCCTGGGGGCGGCAACTGCCGCGGCCTGCGGGGCGCTGGACGACGAGGGGGGCGCGGCCGCGGTCGAGAACGCGCGGCGCCCCCCGCTGTTCCGGCCGCCCAGCATGCGGCAACATGCCGCCAGGGAGGGCGTCTACCTCGTGGAGCGCGACATGTGCCAGTTCGGCCAACGACCGCCAGACGACCCAGCAGCTCGCCATAGGAAGAGCACCTGCCTGCTGGGCAACTTCCTGGAGCTGCGGGGGCTGGGCCGGCCCTGCCGAGGTCGCCGCGTGCACGCGCGCCTCGAGGGCGCGGGCAAGTCGGGCGGGCGCCAGCAGAAGCGGGCGGCGCTGGCGGCGGCTTATGCGCCGCAGTTTGCTGGGGCGCTGGCCGCGGCGTTGCAGGCGGGCGGCCGAGCGGCGCCCATGCGACAGCCCGTTGCGGGTGGCAGATGCAGGCCTCCGTTATCTTTGACGGCGCATCGGCTTCCCGGGCGAGGGCCGGAGCACCCGCGGCGGAGAGATCTCCGGGCGTCGCTGCACGGGCGGGCTCACGCCTGGCGAAGGCGTCGAGGGCTCTGTGCACCAACAGGCGCGATCAGAGCTGGGGCTAGCTGCAGAGATGGCCGCCAAGACCTTTCCGCGTCCATATGATGGCTAGACTTCTTGAGCTTGTTCAATATTTGGTCCAGAACAAGCGGCCGTCCCGCGAAGCAAAATGTACCGTTCTTGCGGCGCAGCAGCGCAGCCCTATACTTCGCTTGCGGCGCCGGGGTGCTGGGGACTCAGTGCGTTTGGGAACGATCGGAGAGGCCTCGTAGCCTCGGGCGCCGATCACGAGGCTCGATCCACAACGCTCTATGGCGCTGGGCTCGGGTCAAGGCGCTAGGTCAAGTCCCATGGTGGATGGGCTTCTCAGCGCTTGCTTGCGCGCTATATCTTGGAGGCCAATGCTGCCGCGACCCTGTTTGAGCTGCGCATCGTTCCGACTCTCGGCCGTGTTCGAGTAATCGCGCGCGGCGCCGCTGTCGCTGCCGCTTTGAATGGGGGGCCTGAGTGTGCGAAGCAAATCTCCTCGCGTCAGAATCAGTTTGCCCTCGTTAGTTGCTGCGCGCCTAAATATCAATGTGTTGGCTGGCCAGGAGGAGCTGAAGTCCATCGTGCCCGAGGCGACGGTGGCTCGCCTTTGGTGAGACGCGGAGGAGGCCAGAGGCGACTTGATGGCCCACGTGGCGCTGTCCCTTCTCGGCGTCTTCGCCGACCGCTCCCTGGCCAGGGCCGCCCAGCTGGGAAATGCGGGGCAGCCCCGTGTCGTCAGTGACTCAGGCGCTCGTGCTTGTCTCCATCCATTGGGCCAATGTGTCTTCCGTCAGCTGCGTCGCCTCCATCGACGCTGTCGATGGGTGCTTCGGGAGGGCCATTGGCGCCGCGGAGGAACAGGTGGTTCGATCTTCGTGGAGTTCCCACAGCCGCTCCACTCGACTGCTGTTGGACTGGCAGTAGCCGTAGCGACCACTGTCGTGGGCCAAAATCACCGTTGGTGCTCCCGATAAAGAAAGACAATCGGCGGTGGACAAGCCTCCCTTTAAACCTCCCTTTAGTGAAAACGGCCTAGGACCGAAACCGATGGACCAGGACCCGCAAAAACGACGGCCGCGACGCCCTCCCGCGAACCGAAAGCGGCCAATTCGCTAGTCGACGTGTCAAGGTAGGAGGTGTGTCCACCCCCGAGACAGCTGGGCCAAAACTATGTATGTTTTCGTGTTTTCGTTCTTGGAGTTGCCTTGCGGCGTCGGGGTTTTCGATTCGACAGTGGTCGCACTTTTATTATAGCTTCGATTCGGTGGCAGTGATTTTGTCGATGTGTACTTCGGGCCGCCTGCGAAGTGGGCCGGCTGCATGCGCCTCCCAGCACCTTGGGTAACCTTCGTGGCCGTCGCACCGGTCGCAAGAGAGGTGCGATCGACGCGTTTCTCGTCTCCGCAGGGGCCCCCAGCCAGGCCGTGCGTTGAAGAGCGGAGTTGCTGCTCTCGTCTGCGCGGCAGGGCCAACTGGGGAAGGGGGGGGGGCCTCAAGCGCAGCATCCGCTCCCCCGACGGCCACCCCTAGCCATCTTGCCACGTCGTCTCCGACAGAGTTCTTTTCTATTTTGTTGATGTGTACTTCGGGCCGCCTGCGAACTGGGCCGGCTGCAGGCGCCCCTCAGCATTTTGGGTAATATTCGTGGATGTCGCAGTGGTGGCAAAAGAAGTGCGATCGGTACGTTTCTTGACCTTTGCTCTGTCGAGTTTTCCGTAGGGGTCCGAGAGCTTTATATATGTATGTCTGTCTGTCTGTCTGTCTGTCTGTCTGTCTGTATGTATGTATGTATGTATGTATGAATGAATGTATGTATGTATGCATGCATGCATGCATGCATGCATGTATGTATGTATGTGTGTGTATGTATGTATGTATGTATGCATGTATACATGTATGCATGTATGTATGTATGTATGTATGTATGCATGTATGCATGTATGCATGTATGCATGTATGTATGCATATATGCATGCATGCATGCATGCATGCATGCATGCATGTATGTATGTATGTATGTATGTATGTATGTATGTATGTATGTATGTATGTATGTATGTATGTATGTATGTATGTATGTACGCACATATATATACTATATAGATATGTATGCATGTATGTGTATGTGTATGTATACATACACATACACCTATATCCCAATAAGGCCAGCAGGCTTTAGCTGATATGCATTTGAGCATATTGCAGTAGTTCAGCCAGCTTGCAGCTTACGCTGTGACGTCGAGTGCGACATGAGCCAGAAACTGAGAGGCGGTAAGCCAGGCAGGGAGCCGTGGAAGAGCTTTTCAAATGGGGGGGGCCCTTCGGCCTCGTCGAGCCTCACCAGCGCCTGATCCGCCAGGCCGCTGGCGGCCTGTCGGGGGTCCCGGGGATCCTCCATGGGTTTCGCGCGTCCCAAGGGCCTGCGGGTGCCTTGGGGGTTCCTTGGCGGACTCGCGCTTGGTCACGGGGGTGTCAGGGCCGTTCGGGCCGGCTGGCGCTGGTAGAAGGTAGGCCAAGGGAGCTAGGTGGGTCCAAAGCGTCTCGACCTCCCTTCACCTCGGCCCTTCGGGCCTAGCTCTGACGAGCTCCTGGTGGAGCGACGGTGAAAAAGGAGAGCGGGGGCAGGTCGGCGTCAGAAACAAAATTGCCCCGAATCGTTTGGAAGGGGTCTCAAGTTAGGAGGGCCAGAAACATGAGGGATATGGGGTCTGTTTGGCAGAGGTGCCTGACGAAACCGCTCAGATACTTAGGGATATCCCTTAAAACAGTGGGTTTAGGTTAGGGCACGAATCCATTGTGCTATTCGGGTTAGGGTTTGTATTATGCTTGATGACCTTTCAAAAACACGTGAAAGCCCTTTGTTTCAGCCCAGTTGGCGAAAAAATGCGATGAATATTCCATTGTCGGCGTGATCATCGATGCGGTTTGCCCTGGTTTGCCCACAACGTCGACCCCTGGAAATCTCGACGCACTCCCAGGGACCGGCTTTTCATCCAGAGTCGTTTTTGGACGGTCCTGGAGCCTGGTAAGGGTCCCCATGGGCCGAAGCTGGCGACAAGCCTCCCGTCGTGATTTTCGCATGGCTCGAGCATGCTTGGGTCGTCGGCGTGATCATCGATGTGGTTTGAGATTCGGCATGGTTCCGCGAAGGCTCCTCCCCCTCCCTGCTCTGCCTGGGGTTAAGTCGGGCCCGTCCCTCTACAGGAGGAATATTCAAAAATAGTCAAAAAAGAGTCTGGGGACTACTTTTTGAGCATTTCTCTGAACCATTTTGGGGTATTTTTTGAATATTTTTTATCTTTCGTTGAAAATCCCCCTGTAGGGGGACTCGGGGGTGGGCAGAACCCCCAACAGTGACACGTCGATTAGTGAATTGTCCGTTTTCGGTTCTCGAGGGGGCGCCGCGGCCGTTCTTTTCCAGGCTTGCGCCCGCCAGGTTTGGGCCTCAGGCCGTTTTCACTAGACCACGTTTTACGAAAGGGGGATCTGTCCATCCCCGAGGGGCACGCCCGACTTAAAGCCTGGGGCCCCCTGGCCCAGGCCGCCCTGGCGCGGGCGCCCGCCGAGCAGGCCTCAGGAGACCGGGCCTCTGCGACGAGGGCGTCCCGTCCCTGGGAGGAAGGGGGGGGAAGGGGGAGACGGAGGAGGAGGAGGAGGAGGAGGAGGAGGAGGAGGAGGAGGAGGGAGGAGGAGGAGGAGGAGAGGAGGAGGAGGAGGAGGAGGAGGAGGAGGAGGAGGAGGAGGAGGAGGACGGGAAGGGGGGAGGACGATGAAGAGGATGCCGACCAGAGTTGGAGCCGTCTTGGGGTCGGAGGTGCCCCAGCCTTGGTTCGGGGCCCCAGGAAGGGCGGGCAGGTTTTGAGGCTCTGGGTTCAGGAAGGTTTCCCACCTTCTTCTGTCTCTGGGGGCTGCGCTCGGATCCCGGGACAGTGAAACATTGATCTGGGTGGGGTGACAAACTGCACACCAGATGGAGACCCCGGGAGGGGTCCGGGGACCAGCTTTGAGCGCATTTGCCCTTACACCCCCCTCTTGGCAGATTTCCTGAGGCCCCAGCCAGTTCAGAGCTCCCGGCTGCCTCCAAGGAGGGAGGGAGGAGGATGAGGAGGGTGACGACCAGAGTAATACCAGGAGGCGTTAACGATGCGGCAGCACAGTCAAGTCGCATGGTAGGGATGGATGACTTTCCAAGGCTATCCTTGCATCCTTACGCCTTCGACCCATCCTGGGCGTCTTTTGTTTGGCCAGTCTCGTTCGAGAGCGCCTGCATGGCCCTCCAAAGCCCCTGCATCCTTACACCGCATCCCTGTTATGCGTTTCGACTGTACCAGGATGCGTTAACGATGTGGCAGTACACTCTCCTCGGCAACGCGCAGAGGGGTGTACGAGGAGGGGGAAAGGCTTCTTAGAATCACCCCTCGTCTTAAAAGGCGGGGGCCTGGTCCGTAGATGTAAGGCCGGCGCCTTCTAATAAGCAGCCTCCTTCTAAGAAGCCATCCTCCCTCCACCTACCCCCCTTGTGCGCGCCGCCACAGTATCCATCGGTCGTTGAGAGTAGGTATTTCCCAACCATCCTGTGGTGTTGGGTCCTCGTTTTGAAGAGACAGCGCCCCGCGTTCCTTCCTTCCTCCCGCTGCCCCCTCCCCCCTCCTCGCATCACCATCATCATCATCATCATCATCATCATCATCATCATCATCATCATCATCATCATCATCATCATCATCATCATCATCATCATCATCATCATCATCATCATCATCATCATCATCATCATCATCATCATCATCATCATCGTCATCATCATCATCATCATCATCATCATCATCATCATCATCATCATCACCCTCACGAGGATCGTGGCCCCATAGGAGCTCCACCGAAGGCGCCAGTAGCAAAGTGCGCATGGCGGCCTCGGGCCATTTCGGCACACCCCTCACGAGGATCGTGGCCCCATAGGAGCTCCACCGAAGGCGCCAGTAGCAAAGTGCGCATGGCGGCCTCGGGCCATTTCGGCACACCCCTCACGAGGATCGTGGCCCCATAGGAGCTCCACCACCCCTCAAGGCGTGGCCCCATAGGAGCTCCACCGAAGGCGCCAGTGGCAAAGTGCGCATGGCGGCCGCGGGCCATTTCGGCACACCCCTCACGAGGATCGTGGCCCCATAGGAGCTCCACCGAAGGCGCCAGTAGCAAAGTGCGCATGGCGGCCGCGGGCCATTTCGGCACACCCCTCACGAGGATCGTGGCCCCACAGGAGCTCCACCGAAGGCGCCAGTAGCAAAGTGCGCATGGCGGCCTTGGGCCATTTCGGCACACCCCTCACGAGGATCGTGGCCCCATAGGGAGCTCCACCGAAGGCGCCAGTAGCAAAGTGCGCATGGCGGCCGCGGGCCATTTCGGCACACCCCTCACGAGGATCGTGGCCCCATAGGAGCTCCACCGAAGGCCCCCAGTGGCGGCCTCGGGCCATTTCGGCACACCCCTCACGAGGATCGTGGCCCCACAGTTGTGCTGCTTCAACAACCGCGCCTGGGCGTCGTACTCCGCCATATCGACGTGCACCGACACCTCCTCCCTCATGGCTCTCAACGCCCTCTCCTGCTTCCTGCTCCTCGGTCAGAGGGACGCCGTCCTTGTCGTCGTCGGCGCCCGCGAAGATGGCCACGAACGTGTTCCTGGGCGCGGGCGAAGCTGGAATTTACAATTGTGGTATTCACAGCTGCATATGGTTGGGTCCTTCGACAGGCTAATGTTGGGGTGCCATATTCCGGTCCACTTTGAGCGCCTTCCTGCTTCAATGATCGAGCGGCTTCACCTTTTCCGTCCTCCTTAGGGGGCGGGCGGACACCCAAGCCTCTTTCAACGCCTTCCTACTTCACGCTTCTGCCCACTTCTGTCAAGTCGGGCCTGTCCCTCTACAGGGGGAATGTTCAAACATGATAAGAAAAAGTCTGGGGACGCTTTGTTTGACCAGTTCTGAGTAGTTTCGGGTATTCTCTGTCTGTTTGAAATTTGTCGCTTAGAATCCCCCTGTAGGGGGACAGGCCCGACCTAACACTTCTGCCGACCGATGGGTGCGCCCGCCCGTCCCAAAGTCCTTTCCCCACTGGGCTCCCGCGCGGACTGCTTCCGCTGCGGCGAGCGCGTCCCCCGTGAAGGGCGAGCGCTGCGTGGGGCTGCCCTTCGGGCGGCCCCCTTTTTTTTTTTGTTAAAAAAATGCAACAACATATTATGTTTGGTTAAAGTACAACAGCATAGTTTACGTATGCATACAACATCTTGCGCAGAGGATCCGCCTTCCGTCTTACCAGTTCGGATTCACGAGGCTTGCGGCATTCCGACGGCCCTCCAGAGACTGAGGGCGACGGAGGACGAGGACTGAGTGGACGAGGGCGGCGTCGACGGGAGTGGAAAGCAGGAGGAAGATGGAAGCGAGGACGACGGGAAGGTCTTTGATGCTCTGGGGGTCTGATCGGGGTCCCCCTCGTGGAGCCTCGTAGGGTCAAGTGGATCCATCGGGGGTCGTCGCCGGGGCCTCCTTTATTGCGAGGGCCTCACGGCCAGTGCCGCCGACCCTGAATGGCGACGACGACGACGACGAACGCTGTCGGGGGCCTCTTCGGGTAGTTTGGGGGCCTCTCGGGAAGCTCTGGGGGGCCGCTTGGAAGCCTCGTGGGGGCCTCTTGGGGTCTCTGGGGGTCTCTTGGGGGCTTCTTGGGGTTTCCTTTATTCCAAGCTGGTCAGGGCGGGCCCTGGAGCAGGGGGTGCGGGAGGCAGCGGGCTTGCGTCGGCGGATGCTTACCAGCATACATGCCCATGGCGCCCTCTTGGGGGCGGTTCTGGGGTGTCTAGGGGGGCTTCTTGGGGGGCCCTTCGGGTGCCTCTTGGGGCATCATCTGGGCCTCTGCTGGAGGGCCCTCCTGGTGGAGTCTGGGGCTGTTGCTCGTGTGGGGCTTCGGGCTTTACAAACAGAGGCAGTCTCAAGCGTGAACCTCACTTTTAAAGAGGAGCCGAACTCCGTCCGTGTAGCTGCTTTGTAAGACGCGCGTGCGTGGCGCAACGGGGGGAACCCCATTTCGAACGGGTGCCGCCCCCCCCCTTTCCCGTAGCCGTCCGAACTGTTCAAGACGCCTCTGCGCGGCGCCAGGGCGCGAGCTCCATTTTGAGCTGGAGCCGCTCTCCGTCCGAGGAGCGGTTCGAGTTCTGTTGAAGCGAGCGCGCGCGGCGCCAGTGCGAGAGCCCCGCGGTGAGAAGTCGCTGCCCTCTCAGCCTCGTGGCCGTTGGGCTGCCTATGGCGAGCGTGCGCGGCGCCAGGGCGGGGCGCGGCGTGCTGAGAAGGGGCACGCCCTCCCCCCGTGCAGGTAGCTGCGGGGGATACAGTCAACGCGCATAGTCAGGACAAACTCCTCGCCTCCTCCTCCTCCTCCTCCTCCTCCTCCTGCTCCTGCTCCTGCTCCTCCTCCTTCCCATCCTCCTCCTCCTCCTCCTCCTCCTCCTTCTCCTCCTCCTCCTCCTCCTCCTTCCGCAGTCACAGTAAGGACCCAAGGGTCCTTGCCTGCCTCAGCCTCTGCGGCCCGTCCCTAGCAATTCTCGCAGGCCAGGATGCTTCCACTTCGGCCTCCCAGGGTCTTGCGTCCCTGCCACGCGTCCTTACGACGCGTCTTCACTGTATTATGGCTCGGGAATAGAATCGGTGAGGAGGGCCCAAGCGAAACGCCGGGCTCGCCCTAACGACACGCCTGCTTTGGCGCCAAGGGGGGATCCTTTACAAAGGGGCAGGGGTGGAGGACGCGACGGGGGAACGAGGAGGAGGAGGAGGAGGAGGATGAGGATGAGGAGGAGGAGGAGGAGTGTTTGTTCCACCCTCGGGGGTCTTATTCGACATAGTTCAGTGTGTTTGAGAAGCCTTTTGCGTCTGAGGTTTTCGTGGCGGTTTGGGATTCGGCGACCAGGCCCCCCCATGTCGTTTCCAACACTTATCAAAGCCATCGCTGGTGGCCCAGATAACATTTTCTAGTTAATTTTGCAAACGATCCATACATAAGAAGCGACTTCATAGTTAGGTTCGGTCCGTGCCTCACTCTGCAAGCTGTGGCCCGTCGCGTGTTTCCCAGCTTTTCGCTCGCATAACGGACCAGCCTTGCGCGGGCTTTACCGTTCGGTTTTTTCGCTATATAATTCGGTTGGCTGCCTTGCCTTAGTACGAGCGCCTTTCGGCACCAGGAAATTCTCTTTGTCTCGCCGTGGCGTGTCCTCAGAGCTGGACCATCGCTGATTTAACGTCATGCTCTTCGCACTTGTGGTTTTGACTCGACAACCCGTCTAACTCAAGGAGTACGGAGGAGGGAGGATGCCCCTCCTTCCATCTGCCCCTCTTGCATCTATCTGTTCTGTCTCGCCTCTGCCTCCCTTGTCCCTCCCTCTTCCCCGTCCTTGCTCCCTCCTCGCTGGATCCCACCTCAGGAGACCGAATCTTCGTTACAAAGGTGCCTCCGAACGTAGACAGGGATCAGTTGCGCGTGTACTTCGAGCAGTTCGGAGACCTGACTGACGTCTATATGCCCTCGGTGCCGGGTGGTGCAACCCACAAGGGCATATGCTTCGTGTCCTTCGCCGACCCGCAGTCGGTTCAGGCCTTCTCTTCCATGGGGTGTTCGCGAGACTACTTACGTCGGGGATCGTCCTTTAAATTTGGAACGATGCAGAGCAGGTTATCCTTGCCCTACTTTGACACGCGCGAATCGAGAAATGCATATGATTGAAAGTTTGTAGGTGTAAGTTTCGAGCCCACCAGATGTGTATGGATCTGGACGCCCCCCAGGCGGGCGGTCAGGACCACGTCGCGGGGGCCCAGGGCCGCTCAACAACGAATCCAGGGGCCGCTCAACATCCAGGGCCGCGCAGGTCAATTCCCAGGACCACGCAGGTCAAATCCAAGACGCGACCACGCAGCACATGTCCAGGACCATTCAACCATCCCTCCAGGACCATTCAAGCACAATTCAGGACAACTGAGAACCATTCCCAACATCTATCTCCCCACCATCCCACCGACCACTGCATTTTTCGATTACACGTAAGTCAGCCACGCGCGGAGGGGGGTAGGGGGAGGGGGGAGGCTTGTTAGCAGCACCCCTGCTTCTTAGAAGGCGCGGGCCTTCTCTACATATTAAGGCTGGTGCCTTCTAAGAAGCAGCCTTCTTCTAAGACGCCTTCCCCCCTCCCCCATACCCCCCTCTGCGCGCAGTCAATTTCGACTACGCGTAAGAGTGACCTTTCGCCGGAGTGACCTCTGGTGTGGCCTCACCGGGGTCCCTCCGATCGCGGAGCGCGATGCGACAAGGGCTGCATGCGTGCTTGGGTCGGGCGCCCCCTTAATCCGCGCACCGAAGGTCACTCTTGTCCAGGGTCACTCTTGCGTGTAGCCTCCTGTGGTCCTCCTCCTCCTCCTGCTCCTCCTCCTCCTCCTCCTCCTCCTCCTCCTTCTCCTCTTCCTCGGAGGAGGAGGAGGAGGAGGAGATGGAGGAGGAGGAGGAGGACGAGATTCGGATTCGACGCCATCTGCGAGGGCCAGACATGCGCGGGGTGGCAGCTACACCGTTCGGCAGGGGCTTCAAAACTGGATGATCTGCCGAGCGCGAGGGGAGACAGCGCCCCAGATCGCCGCCGCCCCCAGCCGCCCCTCCTCCTCCTCCTCCTCCACCTCCTCCTCCTCCTTCTCCTCCTACTCCTCCTCCACCTCCTCCCTCCTCCTCCCTCTCCCCCCCCCCTTCCTCCTCCTCTTCCTCCTCCTCCTCCTCCGCCTCCTCCTTGCCTTGCCTCGTCGCTCTCTCACCTCCTCCTTCTCCTCCTCCTCCTCCTCCTCCTCCTCCTCTTCCTCCTTCAGGCTGCCATTTGGGCTTCGCGCCCCCGCTGGGGCGAGGCGCAGCACATCCATATGGCCCCAGCCAGCGGCCCGTGCTCGGGCGGTGGTGCATCTCGCGCGCAATTCCAGGCGATTGGCCCAAAAAGCCGCTCGCCCGCCTGGCACAGGCGCGCCCGCCGTGGGAGGTCCGCCGCGCGTCGGGTGCCCAGGCTCGACGCAGCGCGGCGGCTGTTGAGGAGGCACCACGGCGAGCACATGGCGGGCAAGAGCGCCATGGGCGGCGGCGGTGCAGGCGGTGGCGGCGGCGACGCTCCATGGCGCCAGGCACAGGACGCACCTGCGGGACCATGGGCAGGCTTCGCCGCCAAGGCGTGCGGTTTCCAGAACAAGTTCGCCACGAGGGCGGCCTGCCTCAAGTGCGGACGCGGCAAGGACAAACGCTACCCGCCGAGCAGGATCCCGTCGAGCAGCGGTCGCGAACGCAGTCGTCGCCTTGAGCGTGATGTTCCCGCTAAGCCCGTCGCTCCACTGTCGGAGGTGGCCAAGTGCCGCAGGGCGGTGCAGTCACTTCGACGCCTGCGCGACGATGACTCCTGCGAGCTCATGCGCATGGCCGTGGCCGAGCTCGCGCGAGCGGCGCAGCGGGAACGGGAATCCATGGCTCCCGAGAGCGTGCTGCGCAGTGCGTCCGACAGGCTGGCTTCACAGAAGGTGGAGCATGAGAAGCTGGCCCCGCAGATCAACAATACCCAGCAGCAGCTGGTGGACACCAGGGCCAATCACGAGGCTGTTGCCAAGGAGATCGCGATGCTCAACACGGAGGTTGCGAAGGCCAAGGCCGCCATTGCGAGCGAGGCCCCAGCTGGCGACCTTCAGGCCATGGCAGCAGCAGTGCAAAGGCTCCAGAACAGCATCTTGGCAGCCAAGCGGTCGGTGGAAAGGGTGTCAGTCGACGGGCCGGACAGCTGCTGCAGACTCTCGTGGCTAACATATAGCAGCTGGGCCCCGCCATGGGGCAGGCGACCGCGGGCGCTAGAAGGGGTTCGGCAAGGGCGGCGCTCTTCGCACCTTTGGCCACGCAGCGGGCGCACTCGGACCAGACCAACCACGGCAGGGAGCACCAGACGCAGCAGCCGCATCAGCAGGTACCCCTCCAGGTGCTCCAGCCAGCCCCAGCCCAGCCAACGCCGACATGGACGCCGACTGCCGCGCGACTTGGGGGGCGCCGTGATGATTGGAAGACGCGCGCCAAGAGGCGCGCGCAGACACGGCGTGGGCGTGATTGCCTTCAATGGGTGTTGCTGGAGTTCGCTGCAGCAGTTTTTGTTAGAAGGTGTAGGGGGCGCTCAGGTCGTGTGCGCACAGGAGTTGAAGCTGGACGGTGAGGCGCTCGACAGAGCACCGAAATTGGCGGTGCAACGAGGCTGGCAACCGTTACTTTCCACGCGCAGGAGGCTGCGGACCAAGTTACCGTCAGCAGGGGTCGCACTCTTCGTCAAGGCGCATATTTCCGTCACCAAGCTCACTGGCTGCCAGGTCATGAACAAGTTTGACATCTCCCCAGCGTGGTCGCTGGCACCACGTCGTCGGCCTGGTCTGCATGGAGTCAGTGGGGTCGGCTAAGCCGAGCTTTTCATCTTCGGAGGCGGCTAGAACGCGCCCCCCCGCCGAGCTCGACGGCATCGGGCTCGCGGGCAACCACTGTCGCCCCCCAGCGGTGCGAGGGCATGCGCAGGGGCGCGAAGGGCCGCTACAGCGTGATCGACTACTTCGTGGCGCCGGAGGACCTAATGCAGGCCTGCGAGCGGCCCCGCATCATCGAGAACTGGGCGCCTCGACCTCATCATGCTGTTCGGCTCGGCCTTTCGGCCCAGCCCGGGCGCCGAAAGCAGCTCGCGCGGGTGGCGCCTGGGGCTTTTCCGCGGGCGCACCCTGCCGCGACAGGCTGCCGCTTGCTCTGGGGCCCACCAGAAGATCGTGGATACTTAGAACGAATTCAGGATGGCGCCCAACGCGTGCATCCTGCGGACGGCCAGGGGGCCCAGTTCAGGATTGACAGCCTGCGTGGCGACATGCTCAGACTCGCGAAGCAGGGCCTCTTCCGCATTCGCCAGGTCGATGGGGCCCGCCAGGTACTGTGGCCGAGACAAGGGGCCGTGCTACGCACGGCGGCTAATCGGGGGGCCAAGGCGCGGCGGCCATCCTGCCGTGGGGGCCGAGCCTCGCTACTTGCGGCTCGTGGCGCTGGCCGCAAAGGACCTCCTCGCGCACGGTGGCGGGGGCCTCCGGCCCAGGGCAAAATGGGCGAGGCTTGGGCGAGCGCTGCGCCCGGGCCATCTGCAGGGCGTTCACGTTGACATGGGCGATATCCTCATCAGCTGGGCATGGGGCGCGGTTCGCCAGGCTTGCGTCTGCCAAGGGGAGCTCTCGTGCTGGCCGACGCCAACGTGCTCGAGCAGCGCGCGGACTACCTCGAGGGCGTCGCAGCCAGGCAACTCTCCCGGACCTTTCATCAGAAGTGGTCCAAGGATGCCTTGGTCTTTGGCACATCGCCTTTATTCGCTATGACGAAGCCGATGGGCTGGGCGCATCAGCAAACAGACAGGTTCGGGATCATCGCGCCCCTCCCTTAAGCCATAGCAGATGCGCAGATGGATTGCTGGAGCATCTGGGAGGGCGTCTCGCTCGCTCCGCAGGCCACGGGGGGTGCGATCTCTGGCGCCGATGATTCGATCCCGACGAGGCCGCGCGCTATGACGACAGGCGCACTCGCTGGTCCTGCGAAGGCTGCGAACCACCGGCGGGGGCGTCGCCTGGGAGACTCGGGCGGGAGATCCCTCTCTCCGCCCTCGCAGCCCCGGGCGGGGGGGCCTGCGGCGGGGTTGCGCTGGAGGACCAGCTGAAGCCGCCACGTGACCGAGACGTTTGGCGAGATGCGGCCACCGACTACTGCGACGCGCACCAGGAGTTCGCCGTGGACCACCTGATTGATCAGGACAGCGAGACGGTCACCCTCCTGGCCCTCCTGCGCAGCCTCCCGCGGGACACCTCGGAGGCGCCCGAGGTGGTGGGCCTCGGGCGAGCGGCCTCGTGGAGGACGAGCGCGAGGGCCGGCGGCCTTTCGCCGAGGGCGTTCTCGCTGGTGTCGGACGACGCCCTCGCGCTGGTCGTCTGCGCGATGTGGGCAGCGGAGTCGTGGGCGCGATAGCCGACGGCGCTTCTGTCAGTCCATATCGCGTTGCTGGGCAAACCTGCAGGAGGTTTTAGGCCCATCGCACTATTGCCTGCGTCCGAAGGTGCGCGAGGGTGCGGGTCGTGCGCGTCAGGAGATGGGAGGTGCAGCACGCGCGCCCGCTCTTCGCCCTAGGCCGGGGCAAGTCCACCGCCCGCGCCGTGGTGCACGCCGTGGCGGCGGACAAGAAGGGCGGCCGAGTCATCGCGACAGCGCCAGTCGACATCAGCAAGTGCGTTGACAGGGTGGTCTGGATGAAGGTCATGCCAGGGGTGAGGCAGAACGAGCTTCCAGCGGCCATCCTTACCATGGTGATGAGCATGCACCACGCGCCGCGTCGCCTGAGATGGGGCAGCATCGACTCCTACGCGGTGATGGTAGAGCAGGGCGTCTTGCTTGGCTGCGCGGTGGCCGTGTGCCTGCTCCAGCTTGTGATGGCCACGCCGTTGGAGGTGCTCGTGGCCTCCGCTTCGCGCGTGCGCAGGTCCATCGGTGCATGCGCTGACGATGCGACGGTGCAGTTGATCGAGCACGTCGGCGCGATCGTTACCTTGGCAGCCGCCCTGCTCAACAGGCTCGCGGTCGTGCTACTGCCGGCCCTCCAGCTGCCCATCGCGAGGGGGAGCGCGAAGGTGCTGAGCGCGGACGATAGCGCGGCCGAGCAGGTCGTGGCACTGACGCGAGAGCACGGCTTCAAGGTGGCGGCGTTTTTGAATGCCCTAGGCGTGGGGACATCTGCAGGCAAGCCCATCTCTGTTGCCAGCCCTCGCGCTCGGATCTGCAAAGTCAAGAAGCGCATGCCGCGTTTTCGCAGGCTAAGTGTCGACGTCAAGCTGGCGCGCAAGGTCGGGGCGCCCAGCCTGGGTCCCGCCATGCAGCGCGGCCCGCAGGTTTCGAGTGCGCTTCCATCGGCGATCTCCTCCATGACAGAGCTCGCAAAAACAGGTCGGGTCGGGGCAGGGCCCCAGCGGCGACGTCAACCGGGCTGGCGACCCAGGTCGAGCCAGCGCCGCATCAGCTCCCAGTCGGGCCCATCTTCGCGTGGGCACAGCTGGTCATGGGTGGCATCGTCAGTCGGGGCACCCCGGCTAAAGCGCGGGATCGACAGGGTCGCCTCCGGAGGGGGGGTGACGGCCCCGTGGTAGCGCATCGCTGGGCCAGCTAGAATTGTGATCGCCTGTGTCAAGAAGCCCAACTGGAGATGCGCGGATCATGCGACCTGGACAATGGGCACAGGCATGGAGCTTGACGTCGCGACCCTCGCGCCAACGTGGATCCGCAAGGGGGCTCGCATGGCATTTGTCGACGTGAAGTTGGAGCAGTGGTCAAGGAGAGCGGAGGTAGCACTGGGGGCCGTGCAGGCGCTGCGGGGTCCCCGCGGCTACTGGCCCGAGCCGCTGCGCATGGTGCTCAACGCGCCGCCGACTGCCAAGCTGCGGGGCCTAGGTGTCGGCGCAGCAGGCGAGCTGCGATCCGCGGCCATCGGAGGCCAGTGGTCGCAGCGGCGCCTTGCCAAGCACGGCTTCTCGGACATGGGTCATTGCCAACTGTGCGGTGAAGGATGGGGCGGCGCGCTTCATCAGAGGTTCTGGTATTGCCCCAGCAAGTGCGATGTCTGCGCTGAGGCTTTGGGCGCTGCCACCGTCGAGAAGGCCCAGAGGAACGACGCCCGCGCGGGTGCCGTCGCCCATCATGCAGGAACAGTGGCACTACTGCCGCCGTGAGAACGGCCTCATCTTCACGGAGGCTGTTTCCACGGACGGTTCGGGCCGTTCCCCGATCGGCTGGCCTGAAGCGAACAGGGCAGGCTGGGCGTTCGCGATCGTGCAGCGCTACCGATGCACAGGCCTTGCCGACGGGGCCTGACCTAGGCATGAGCAGTCGGTGCCGAGGGCAGGGCTGTTCGCCATCATCAAGGCACTGAGACATGCTGTGCTGTCTGTGGATATCAAGACCGACTCCCCCAACGTTGTGCAGGCCACTCGCAAAGGCCTAGCTTGGTATTTGCATGTGTGCCGTGATCATTTAGATTTGTGGAGGCAGTTCTGGGACCTGGTGCAAGACCAAGGAGGGATCTCGCAGGACTTCAGCATCTCGTGGGTCAAGGCGCATCAGTCGGAGCTGAATCGGGCAGACAGGCTGGACAGAGTTGGCAGCGATTGGGCAGACATCGCGGCCAAGAACGGATTTCGATGCCACGATTTCCCCGTGGAGGCGATCGAGCAGCACGCCACCTTGATGCACGAAGTTCGCCAGGTGGCAGCGTGGACTGCCAACTCTCGGGTCACGCAGGACGATGGCACCACCGACGGGATCGTGACCGTGGACCGCAAGCCGAGACGCGTGGGAGGAGCTGCGCGCCTCGCAGGTGGCATGAAACAGCGAGTACATCCTGATATTGCGTTTGGCGCAGTGCCGCACGCCCGACCATGCGCAAACTGGGCTGGGAGCGTGCTCGATGCCACAGGTTTGCCAGGCCTTGAAACGGGTGGGAGGCGCATGTGTGCCGTGCCGGTGCAGTGCGCAGCCGTGCCGTGGCCGCGACGCTGCCCTGCCCCCCCCAAATCCTCGGTGCACGACCCAGGACCTGGCCCCAAGAGGACTCGACACCGCCTCGACGGGATACTCGAGCCAAGTAGCGCGTAGGATAATCAAGGGCAAGAGAGCCCCTCCAGATCCTGCTCCTCCCTGTTCGTCCTGTGGTGAGCCTCCCTCCTGGCTCCCTCCCTCGCCCTGCTTGATGAGTCCAGCGTTGCCCCAGTGTCTGCACTGACCCTGGCCAGGATCACGACAGCCAGGCGCAGGATCAGCCTGGCCTGGACCCCGCTTCTCCCAGCTCGTCCTCGGTGGAGCTCCCTTCCATGCCTGCCTCCCACCTTGCTGCGGCTTCGCCCGGTCTGACGGGAGAACTCGTGCGTCGGGCGCGGCCCCGGGCGGCTTTTGCGCCTGTCTTGAGGCCCCCCTCTTGGGCCTCCCGAGACCCTTCCGACCGCGGTGGAGGTTGGCTCGAAGAAGCGCCTGCGGATTCTTCCCCCTCCCGGCAGGTGCCACGCCGTTCCGCCCGGGGCCCCGCTGCCCCTCGCGGGCCCTGTTCCGTCGGAGAGCGCGAGAGGACGCCGCCGGTACGTTGCTGCGGGTGTGGTAGGGTGTGCACAGTGTGGAGCGTGCTCAGCCAGGGGACATCGGTCGCAGGTGTACAACTACTGCGACCCCGACCTTTTGGTAGGCGCCCCCCAGCGGAAATGGCGCACAGGTAATTTTTCCACCCCCAAAGGGGTCAAATGGGGGTCCGCCGAATCCTCTTCCCCGAATGCTCGAGGTGACAGATGAGGCCGTGCATTGGATCGGCCTCGTATCCATGTCATAGTGTCTGTGCCAACTTGTTTGGCTTTATCGTTTGGCGCGTGGCCGTGTCGGACCTCGAGCGCTGCGTCGGCGATGTCGCACCTCCCTCGCCCGACGGCGCTAATTCGGCGCTGGCGTCGCCCACGTTATGTGACAGATTGTGCCAGTATCCTTGTCCCATCGGCTTGTCTCGTTCCCGTTTCCGATCTCGGCGCGTCTTCCCATGTGCTCGCTCCTCCTCCTCTTCCTCCTCCTCCTCCTCCTGGACGACCTCGTCCTCCCCCTCGTGCTCCTCCTCCTCCTCCTCCTCCTTCTCCTTCTTCTCTTCCTCTTCCTCCTTCTCCTCCTCCTCCTCCTCCTCCTCCTCCTCCTCCTTGTCCTCCTCCTGGACGACCTCGCCCTGCCCCTCGTCCGCCCCTCCCCCACTGGCCAGTGCCCGGAGCGTGGTGTAGCCAGTCGGCCAGGTGCGCAGTTGGATCTGCTCCCCGGATGGGGGCAGAGGGAGGTGGATGAAGGGAAGGAGCGAGAGGGGGATCGGTGGGAGGCGACGTGGTGGAGGAGTTGGGGGGTGGTGTGACGAGAGGGGGCCAGAGCGGAGGTGAGCGAGAAGTTTTCACCGTCCCCACGTTCGCAACGCCCCCCCTGGCCCTCGTATCGGGGGAGCGTAAGACCCGGGTTTGCCGGGACTCGGGTTCGCCATCGTTTTTTGACGACCGCGCCTCGGATTTTGACGAGGAGGAGTTTTGTGGGATGTCTGCAGCGGGAGGCCTCGTCAAAATGCAGGCTCGGCCTCGTCATTGTTTTGACGACCTCGTCGGGGATTTCCGAGTCCCCCGTACCCGGGTCTTACGTCTCCCCGATCGTACTGTTCCTGCAGGCCTGCCTGGCGCACCAGCCGCACGAGGTCAACGGGTGCCACGTGGTCGTCGACGTGGCGGCGCCCCGCGGCGCCCCGCAGCAACAGCGCGGCATGATGCCCATGCAGCAGGCTCGAGGAGGAGGAGGAGGAGGAGGAGGAGGAGGAGGAGGAGGAGAAGGAGGAGGAGGAGGAGGAGGAGGAAGAGGGCGGATATGAAGGAGGAGGAGGAGTTGGAGAAGGAGGAGGAGAAGGAGGAGAAGGAGGAGGAGGAGGAAGAACCCCCCAATACTCATCACTCATCAACGATGTTGGAAGAAACCCTCCCTCCAAGCCCCCCCCTCGCCGGCCCTACAATGATTCATTTCCACAGAGGGAAGTGCCCCGTTGGGAGACAACCGTTCGAAGGTCCTGAAGCGTGTCAAAGCACCATTATCGGGACTCCAACGCCAAAATCCTGACTGTTGCGTCTGGGCGGTCCTGCATCGCGCCAGAACGCCATTCCTGGGACTCCAACACCGCGAATCAACGCATCTGCCGCGCCCTGGCAATCTTGAGTCGTTCCACGACACCGTTTCTGATACGCTAGCATTATTGCACCACATGTTAAAGACGAGTGTGCGCAACGCTAAGGCGAGAGACATGTTTTGAAAAGGAACCGCCCTCAATCCGCCAAACGCGGGCACCGTTTCAAGACCAATGTGCGCGCCGACCTCAAGCCGTGAAGCTCTTGAAAGTGTTTAAGACGAGTGCATGCGGCGCTAAGGCGAGAGCCACATGTTGAAACCGGCCCGTCTTCAATCCGTGAAAATCTTGCGTTTTTGAAGCAGGATGTGCGCGGCGCTACGGCGAGAGCCATATTTCTAAAACGGCCTGCCCTCCATCTGCGAAGCTGTTGCCGTTGTTGATGCGTCAGGACTATACATGGTGAGGAAGTCTCAGACGAACGCCTGCCTCTCCTTCCGACTGACCCCGGGGAGCGACAGGAGGAGTTATTCGAAAGGGAACGTGATGGAGGAGGTTGGTTCCCCAATCAGAGCTTGCCTCTGTAGGGGTCCTAGCGGATTCATATGGTTAGGTTAGATTTGTCGCCGATTTTCGCCGTACGCCCAGGTGCCTAGCTGCCCGGGGGTGCCCGGGTTCCCAGGTGCCCGGGTGCCTGGGCGTGCCCGGTGGTGCCCTGGTGCTTGGGGGTGCCCTATAGCCCTATAGCCCTATAGCTCAATAGCCCTACAGCCCTATAGCCTTATAGCCCCTATAGCCATATAGCCCAATAGCCCACATAGCGCTCACGAGCCCACATAGCCCTGTTGCCCTATAGTCCTACAGCTCTAAAAAGATGATGATTGGGGTTTTCTCCGGTATCATGATGATGCTGATGATGATGATGAGGAGGAGGAGGAGGTGGAGGAGGAGGAGGAGGAGGAGGAGGACATGGGTGATAAGGATAATGAAGAGGAGGAGGAGGTGGAGGAGGAGGAGGAGGAGGAGGAGGGAAAAGGAGGAGGAAACAGCGGAAACAGCGGAGACAGCGGGGAGGGAGGGCGACGGGAGATGGAGGAGGGGAGGGAGGGGGAGAGAGGAGGGCGGGGTTATTCGCGTTTTTCATTTGGTTTCGAGGATTTTGCAGGGGATGGGGTTCGTAGCCATTTTGGCTCAAGTCCGTAGCGTGGCCCGAGCGTCAACAGCGGCCGAGAGCATTGTGGCACTGGGGGCGCCTCATTGGTGCACGCGGCCCCAAGAGTTTCCTGTCTCTGATAAGATATTCGGGGACCAACCCCCATCATTTCTGCGCACCCACAGTACGCAGATGGTTGTGCAGCGCTATGCGCCATGGCACGATAAGTTCGTCTACAGTCCGTGGGTGTTGAGGGGTAAAGCCAAGGGATGACGACTTGTGGCTTGAGCACCACTCACTACCTAACCAGCGTGTTCGCTTCGCGGGCACGTCAGGGCGGTGGGGGAATGGCAAGGGGCGACCCATGGTGGAGTGCAGCGCCTGTGGCAAGAAGCTCTTCCAGCATCGCCTCAAGCTAGAGAATTGGACTTGCGAGTGTGGTTGTAAATTCAGTGATGTTGATCGTGTGCCTTCTTATTTTCCTCAGCGCGAAGGGGGGCCAGCAGTTAGCTCCAAAGCGTTCGCCAGAGGCTCATGTTCGGAAGTTGGTCTCCCTCCTGCCTGCCAAGGCTCAGGGCGCAGCTCAGGGGCTCCTTCAGGTTTTGGATGAGCCGGCCCCAAGCCACCCCTCCAGCCGGGGCAGGGTATGCAGCAAGCGTCGGCTTGAGTCAATCGCGCGAAGAAGCAGCTTGAGAAGTTCAAGGCTGCATGGGTCCGTCACAATCGTGATTTTGAGAAGGCGGAGAAGGATCTGCGCGATGTCACGGAAGAGGTGAAGCGTGCCGAGTCGGAGGAGATTGCAGCGGTGAAGCAGTTTTTGCCCCACACCGCACTACCATACAAGAAGGCAGCCTCAGTCGATGTTCGGCAGATCTTGGATGGTAAATTTGATTTGGAGATCAATTTCTAATCGCAGTTGGATGAGCTGGAGGTGCTGGAGGAAGATCGCCAGATATTCGACGGGGCCAAGCGGATGCTTCAGAAGGCTTTTTCCGAGGCAGCGCAGGCCTCATACGGAGCCCTGCAGGCGAAAACCGGCCAGCGCAAGGTGCAGCTCGCAGCCGTGGTCGAGAGGACGAAGAAGAAGAGGAAGGTGCCAGAGGCCCCACCATGGTGAGGCAGCTGGCTCAGGAGGTCGGGCGCCAGCTGAGGAGGCAGTCCAATCCCTGTCCCAGACGACAGCCAGGCCGACCCCCCAACCCGCAGTGGCGGGGGAAGACGGTTGTCTGGACCCCCAAATGGCCCGCCTCGGGCGCGAGGTGGAGGGCTTGGTGGGGGAGTTTCGTGCCAACAAAGGACGGGGGGGATGGTCGGGCCTTCGATGCTGGGGCCCAAGATACGAAGAGCTTGCACATGATAAATATATCTGGATGGGGTTTCCCAGCGATGGACCTGCTGAAGGAGAGGGACTCATACTGCCAGAGCTGCGCCTACCACCAGAAGAATGCCACGAAGTCCTGCACTAATGGGATGGATCGGGTTACAAGGCTGTTGTCGCGCCGTCGTACCTTATGATTGGAGTGAAAAGAACTGGAGGCATCTCGGCAGGAGTCTTGCAGCGATGCCAATTCCAGTCGTTCAGGCACTTAGCGAACAAACCCTCTCGGCAGTTGGGGCTCATAATGATTGACGAGCCAGAGGACACTAAGCAGAGAGGCCTGGACTTCAAGGGCCAAGTGGCGTTCCAGCTGAAGATGGGAGGCCAGCCGATCATCATCATGGGGGTGTACCTCGCTGCTGGCAGTGAGTTGAGAGGCGCTAGCGTTGACAAGTTAATCCAGATGGGCCAGCTGATCCAGAGCATCCGCACACCTTGGTTAGTCATTGGTGATTTCAATGCGGAGCCGCACGAGTTGGAGGAGATAGGCTGGCCCAAATTGGCGGATGGTATCATTTGGGCGGCGGATGGTTCTGATAGCCCGTGTATTTTGGGAAAGAAGAGAATGACCGATTATATGGTTGTGTCACCCTCAATGCACGACCAGATGTATTAATTCCTCCATTGTGGACGACACTGCCTCCCATGAGAGAGGTAGAGCGCACTTCGGGCTGCGTTTGTTGTTGAGGCTTAAGTAGGAGTAGGCACCCAGATGGGTTGAACCGCTGGCTGAAAACCCCCCCATGCCCGAGATGCAGAAGGGTCCCGAGAGCGAGCGCACTCGGAAGCTTGCATTGTAGAAGAAGGAGCAGGTTGAACAAGTTGCGCCACCAGAGACGGCAACACCGTTGAGGAGTCGATTGGCTTCAAGTCACCACCCCCGGTCTGCTACCTCACCAACGACGTCTGGGGCATCGAGGAGGTTGCGGAGGAAGATTACGAATCCTTGAATGAGCCAGACGACGAAGTTGCATTTGGCTCTGTTGGCGGCGGTTCTTCGCGAGCCCCCACCCCCGGGCGCGCCCTCGAGGTAAACGGCGAGAGGGGTGGGGCATTGTCGCCGCGAGTTAGAGCGCAAGTCCGTGCCCCCAGGAGCACCCAAGAGGTAAACGGCGCGGGGGGCAGGGCTCAGTCGCCACGTGTTGCCGATGCGCGTGCTGCCGACGGAGGCGCCATTGAGGTTTCGGCTTCTGGAGTGCCCGCGGGCCCCCCAGGTGCCGCGGGGGCCCCGGGCCGCTGCTGGCGCAAGGGGTGGAGGGCGCGCCGCTGCTGGTGGGGCAGCGTGGATGGGGCTCCAGTCGACTGGGGGGGCGGCGCGCAGGTCTGGGCGGGGCGGGGGGCAGCTCCGGAAGCAATCCGCAGCCCCGCCCTCGGCCGGGGGCAGCCGCGCGACCGCCCCATCGCGGAGGAAGAGGCGGAGCACCAGAATCGGACAGCGCCTGAAGTTCAGAGCGGGCCAGGCCACCAGCTTCTCACGACCGCGAAGGAGCAGCGGGGCCATCTGTGGGAGTCGCTGCAGGGCCCAGTCAGGGATGTCAAGGCGCCGAGCTACGCGAGAGACTCTGTCGCTTTCAGCCTGGGCGAGGCTGGGGCGATGAGGGTAGGTTCCGATTTTGCCGGATTGGCATCGCGCCTTGAAGGTTTTTCTGTGCTACGCTGGGAGTGCTCCCCAAAGACCAGCATCGATTTCAAGGCTGCGCTGAGCTGCGAGTAGGGCCTGGTCAGTTTCCTCGGGGGCAGATCGAAGCGCAGGCCTAGCCGGCTTTTTGGTAGAATTAGGGACGTGGCCTCGTCGACGCCAGTCGCGTCTCTTCAGCCGCTCACAAATAGAATTCGCTCGGATTGGGTCCGAGGCCTACGCGTTCCCATGGGGGGCTTCAGAGCAGCTTGTCAGAGATGTTGAAGCTAGAGCGAGGCAGAACTCAGCGCGGGCCCAACGCGCGGTTCTGAATTATACATTCACCTGTTTTCACCAGTGGGTCATGTAGCCGGACCAGGTTGGAGGCCGTGGCCTGTGTAGCCGCATCAGGGACAAGTCGGCGCATGTCGGGGAGGTTCGGACTGGCGGGGGGGGGGGGCGGCTTCGGACTCCTGCCAGAGGGTGGCTGTCAAGGCCAAGATCTGGGCAGGCAATTG